TCTACTAGACTGCTAACAAAGATAATCTTTGCTTGGCCTTTTTTAATCTTTTTAGATCTTCATTTAAATCTACAACTATCTACTTCAACTTTTTGAGATTCTTAGATATATGATAATCATTTTGAGTATTATTTATTTTTTCTAAAATTTTTACCATTTTGTTTTTATAATATTCGTATTGCTGCACATAAACTATCTTGTCTACAATAATTTCTCAAGCATCTTAAATTATAATGGTTTAATATAAAATGGATTGTTCTATTCAAAATGTAAAAGGTTAGGTACTATTTCCCCATCATTTCTTATCTCAAAAATAATCTAATGTTAAAGAATAATAAATTTGTTTCTATGCCGATCTTGCTTCCGCATGATAAAATAAATGAGTTAGAATTTTACCTAAAAATCCTTTGGACTAGCCTTTAGTCAAGAAATGCTTCTTTCATCCAACCCTTAACGCCAAACTCAGGTTATAATGGGTATTTGGACAGGACAAGTGACTTCACTGCTGCCTCAGTTTCTTTAGGATTCTTCTCATTTTATTTTATGATAGAAATAAAAAAAGGATAAAGACACAAGAATTATTCTAAAACATGATTTTATTTCTGAGAAAAGAAAGGGAAAGTTCCCTTTCCTCTTGAAGGGTGTTTACAGATGCATAGTACAAGGCTTTTAGGTAAGGTATTTGGATCTTCAAATTCCTGATATCTGTTACAGCTTATAGAAGGCTTTTTATAGTGCTCCTTAGAATCTTTTCTTTTGTCATTGCTGATGATTTAAAGTTTACATTATTTGTCTAGTGATCCAGATTTACTTCTTGCTTTTGCTAAAGCAGATTACAAGGAATCTTGCAGACACTCTTCTTTTTCTTTAGTGATGTAAGTGCTTACGTCTTTTTGCATTGGATTCTTCAGAGGATGATGAGATCCTCTTCACTATCTGAGGGGGTGGTCCCTTCATCACATGAGGCTTCAATTTTTCCTTTTGCAGATTCTTTTTTGTAGTAGAAAGCATAATGGCTGTCATGCTTTAATAACTTACATAGTCTATTATGGACAGCTTTATTGGCTGGGACCAAATTTTCAAAGATTTCCTTTCTTTTCTGCTTTATTTTGAATAGGCTGATGCTTTTCATTAATCTTGCACCAGTGGATACCACCGAGATTTCTTTGGAAAAGCCATATGTCCATGTCTTCCTCATCTCTATCATTCTGTCAAAGGTCTGGAGTAAAACCTTGAATCCTAGAGCTCGTCTATCTTGGATGAACTTGATCCCACAAAGAGACTCTCCAAAGTCTTGAAAATTTTGATCTTCATTTGCTTCTACCTTGATTTTCTTGGACTGGATTCCAATTTGAACTATATGATGACTGGGGAAATATTGAGATTTCTCCCATTCTGGTGTTGTAGATTAGATTTTGACAAATACTATCCTTTGTGCTTTGGTGCCAGTTTTGAAGTCTTTCACTCCTTGGCGTATAACTTCTGGAAGTTCTAAAACTTCTTCATTATCCTTTGAGAGATAAATACGGTTTACAAAACCGTAATTGAATAATTCTTTTATTACTTTTGGGTTTGCACCCTGTATGAAATTAATTATGGGATAAATCTTTTCATGGATAGGATGGCAATTCTCAGTGGACCTCATTGAATATGCCATTTTACAAACTCTGCGGTATTCTTGTAGATATTCTTAACTCATTGTCATTTTTTATAAGGTGTCTATTATTGCAGCTTTCTTTTCTTTTTTTCTTGAGTAATCAGGTCAAAAGTTATGGTTTTCAGCATTTTGAATAGTCGACTTTTCAGCTTGAGACGCTGATATTTCTAAGGGGGAGTATTTGACATAATAGTCAAACTTCCCTAAACTTTCTCCAAGTAATCCTACTGAAGGATCACCTTGTTCAAAATTTTCTTTTAGCTCTTGTTTGGAGCTCTTGTTTGGAGCTTTTCTTTGCCATCTAGCTAGATTCTTCAAAGTTAATTTCGATAGTAGTAATTACTCCATAACTCATTAATTTTTTTATCAGCTCTTTGACCTCTTCACGGGCATCTTGTCCCTTATTTAATAACTTGTAATACCCAAGGTTTTTTTACTTAAGATTTAAATAAATCAAGCTTTTAGAGGGTGCATATGTGATAGGATTAAATTTGGGGTTAAAATTATAATGAGGTGAGGAACTCAAGGACTAAAACCTTATAGTTAAAGCTTAGGGACTAAGTGGCAATATTCCCTTTTGTGAAAAACCCAAAATAAGTCGGCAGTTTCAATTCCAAGTTGGCAGTTTCAATTCCAAGTCGGCAGTTTCAATTCCCTTTTCTTTTTGGGGAACAAAATTGTTTCTTCCTCTCGTCAGTAAGGAACTTGCACAAGGGATATGGCTAAGCTAGGGCCAATCAAAGGTAATTCATTTCTTAAACTTCAATTTTGATGATTTGAAGGATGATCATAGGGGAATTTACATGCTTTTGTCCATAATTTGCTTATTAGAGACTCCTACGTCACACAATTTTACACTGGAAGGGAAATTGGATGAAATATTTGGAATGTAGGAATGAAGAGAATGGGTTGAGAAATTTATCTTACTCTTTTTTTTGGAATTGATTTTTAAATTGTGAATTTGGGTGGCGTGAGGAATTTCAAGGGAGAAATTATTTATTAAGATGGTTAATTTCTAATAGTGTGTGTTGGAATGGTTGGGTTTAAAGAGAATATATAAGTGGCATGGGTTGTAGTGCCTGATAAGTACAAGATAAGCTTTTATCTAGTGATTAAATTATGTTTATTTTGATGTTTATTTAGGTTTCGAATAATTGTGTGGTAATTACAATTAAAAGATAGTTATTGAGGTAAGTAGCTATACCCTCCAGTGTTTTTAAAGTAAATCAATGGATTTAAATGGGTTTTGTCCCATTTTGATTTATTTATCTATTTGTTTATTTATTAATTATTTATTTATTTCTTGGAGAATGATTTTTACTAAAATGTTTTTAATGATGAAATGAGATGATTTGTGGACCAAGCATAGTATTTTTATTTAAGTTTGAGATGAGATTGTGACCATGAGGAGGTGGCTAATTTTAATTTGTTTTTCTCCAACATTATTGAAATGGTTATTTTTGGAATGATTTCTTTTATTTGTCCTGGCTGTATGAGTAACCCTTGTGAGGGTTGAGTTGTTGGTATTGTGATAGACCCGAGATCTATGGATCGTGAATTGTGGATCGTGAATTGTGGATCGTGGATTGTGGATTATGGTTTGTGGATTGTGGATTATGGTTTGTGGATTGTGGATTGATGATTGAGTATCATTGATCGTGGATTGTAAATTGTTACGCAGTCATAAAGGATGAAAAATAAAATATTTTGGTTTCGAGGAAAGAATTGTACTTCTTTTATCATTTCATTTTTAGTAAAAAACTCAGTTTTAATTTTTATGCTTGGTTGTGATGGATGGATATATTACTTACGGAGTTCTTAAACTCACATTTTCAAATTTCATCTCATTTCAGGTGAAGAAGTATGAGCATTGGGTTTTGCATGGGGATCAAGAGATCATTAGAGTAAATTGATAAAAATTTAGCAATAGCCCAATTGGAAACTTATTTAGTTTATGAAATAAGATTTTAAACACTTTATGTTTTGGTTAAGGGATTTGATATTGTTATTTGGAGACTATTAAGATTTGTTAATGGAATTGTTTATTTTAAAATAGCAAGGGAGATTGTATTGTAACCAAGGAAAATGGCCTTACACATTTATAGGGTTAACCTATAGATGTGTGGCATTTGTTATACCTAAACCTTTGGGTTGGGGCGTGACATAACTCATGACCTTTAATAATTTTTTCTTGGCCTTCTCTTATTTGGCTATTGCCCTCAATGAGTATCTCTTGACCTTTGAGAATAACGTCTTTTCCTTTATTTTGGAGTTTTATGATTGCATCCATTAGCTCCTTCTTTGCTTAAGAAATCTGCAAAACAATTATTAGTTCCTTTGACATGTTCAATTTCAAAATCATATTCAGCAAAGAAAGTTTGTCATCTATTTAATCTTTTATATTCTGGTGCTAAAGGTAATTTATTAAAAATAAATCCCTTAACTTGAGTATTGTCAGTTCTGACCTTAAAATGTTTTGATAATAAGAAGAAATTGAACCTTTTTATTCCATTTTTAATAGCCAATAACTCTTTATGATTTGAATGATATCTAGTTTTTATATCTTTAAATGTACCATTAGCATATCTACAAACTTTTTCTTGATAATTTTTAAAAGCTGCTCCTCCAATAAAAATCCGAGGCATCACATTCCAAAATTAACTCTTCGTCTT